TGGTAGAAGGGTGAAGGGAACTTCTTTAATAGTACTTTTTTTACATCACTCTTAAAACATAAAACATATTAAATTTAAAACCATCAATGTGTTGGGCCTCTTGGAGTTCTCTGGGGGAAGATCGTAGTATGAACCAGGCTAGTCACGAGGGCAAAGGAAGAGATTGAGTTGAATGAGGTCCCACTCGAGGAGGTAGGATTTGAATGGGCCTTGGGAAGTGGGTGGGAGGCTTTGAAGAGGCCGTGGAGAAAGAGGTGCACACTTGGGGTCGGAGCAAAATGTGGACTCTAGTGAGATTAGATTTAGAAGAACGATAGGTCAGTACTGGGGCCAGATTGTATAGGTTTTTAGGGAGAATGACAAGATTATGCTTTAAAGGGGGATTTATTTTTTTTTTAAGGTGAGAAGGAGCGAGAGAACTATTATTTTATAAAGATGACTCTGAACATAGTATATTGAATGTTACTAGGGCGTGTATGTGGCAGGGAGTGGGAGAGGGTGGAGCACGATAAGTCAAGAACTGCCCACACGCATAAGTTGAATTCTGCAAAAACTTTTTTTAGAGACAGGGTCTTGCTGTGTTTCCGTGCTGGAGTACAGTAGCTGTTAACAGGCGCAAACAGCACCCTGCAGCCTCAGACTCTCAGGCTCATGCTATTTCCTGCCTCATCCTCATTAGTAGCTAGGACTACAGGCATGCGCCACTTTGCTTGGCTACGCGATAGTTGAGTTTTACAGGGAAATATGAATTAAGATCGAACATCTGCATCATGACCCATGACAAGTTACATAGTTTTTTCACTGTGTAAATGGTTAAAATAATAGTACCCGTCTCATCCGACTCTTAGGATAATAAGACAATAATAATAGGTAACAGTGCTGGTTATATATCAAACACTCTTCTAAGCGTCCTACATTTTTTGACTTAGATCAGTCCCATATTGCAAACGAGGAATCTAAGGCACAGAGAAGCTAAGCCACTTTCCCAAGGTCACACACACAGTGTGTGTGTAGGACTCAGGATTTAAACTCAGGCAGGTACAGACAGATCCAGGGCTGGTATCTTCAGCCACTCCACAGTCCTGTCTCTGCTGGCATTCTGTACGTGGCAGGTTAGGAGGCAGTTAATCGGTATTATCCACATAAATGTGTGAGTCAAAAATTTAGCAATTTAGTTTTGGAGTTTAGGCAACATCCCAGATTGACAGATCATCCCCATAGCGCTGTTATGGGGAGAGCAAGGATCAATAAACTCCCCAAGGAAGCAAAGACACGGTCTTCAGGGAACTCTTTTTTTTTTTTTTTTTGGATCTTGGGCCTCTAGCTATCCCCCTGGGTAGAGTGCCATGGCATCACGCTCACAGCAACCTCCAACTCCTGGGCTCAAGTGAGTCTCCTGCCTCCGCCTCCCAAGTAGCTGGGACTACAGGCGCCCACCACAACGCCTGGCCATTTTTGGGTTGCAGCCATCATTGTTGTTGGCGGGCCAGGCTGGGGATTCGAACCCACCACCTTAGGTGTATGTGGCTGGCGCCTTAGCCGCTTGAGCTACAGGCGCCGAGCCAGGGAACTCTTGATGTTTAGAAGTGTTCAGGTGAAAGAAAAGTTATTAGAAGAGGTAGAAGTGGAGGACAGATACGGTCTGGAAAAGCAGCATACCTGACACCGGGGACTGTCCATACGATCAGTACAGTGATCATCCCAGGGGTGGGTCTGGAAAACAGCCCCTGCTCCAGCTGCCAGGCCAGTTCATGAACTTGGAGAGAGTGGTTTTAGGAGCTTGGCAGAGATGGAATCTAGAGTGCAAGAAACTGGACTGCATGGGCGGGGATGAGCAATAGGTGGCCCACTTCATCCTAATGAACTGGAGAGCGTGGGTGTGAGGAGGGTGCAGGGAGAGGATGGTGTTAAAGAAGCTCAAGGCAGGAAGGAATGAGTGCAGAGTCCAGGGGAGAAGGACAGGGATAGATTCAAAATCCAGGGAGGTGGTAGGTTGGCCAGGAATTCCCTAAAAACCCATCCTCAGATGGAATGGAAGAAAGGATGGGGGGATGGAAAGAAATGTGCCGGGAAGGGATGGGAGTTGAGTAAGTTCACTGCCGGGGGTCTGCATTTTTCTATAGAGAAGGAAGCTGTGAAAGGAAATGCAGAGAGGAGTAAGTCTGACTCCTGAGAGGCTGGCTCTGGGGATTATTGTTATGCAGGGGAAATTCGAAGAATGACAGAAGTCTCTGATCTAAACAACACAAACTGACACTTTGCCAGGATGTGTCTCCAGGCAGGAAGTTAATTTACTGAAGTGGAAAGTAGTGGTACAAAAAAAAAAAAAAAAAAAAAAGAATGAAATTAGACAAAGGACAACTTGACTGTGTTTGAAGGAGGAATTTTTAGGCCAACAGACTTAATGGTTCACAGATCAACTGCTTGGGGAAAACTGAGCACTCACCCTAGGTTAACAGCCTGGTTCTGGAGCCACAGCCAGGTTTGGTTAAGACAGAACCATCAGAGCACAGGAAATATCTTAGAAAGGAGTTGTCCAGCAGCGAGGTCTGGGATTACATGCTGCACCGGAAAGGTTGCCTTTAGTCTTCAGTTTATGATTATTTCTAGAAAGATCTTTAGTTGAAAAGACATTGGGTGGTGACATTTCGGAAGATTCATTGTTCTAGTGATACCAAGGGATGGGAGAACAGGATTGAAGAAATGTGATAATATGATACTAAAAATCATTACCTCATCAATGCATTGGTGATTTGGGGGGTTACTTTGGAAGATGTTGGTAAAGGCTTGTCCACATCTGTGTAGATATTTAGATAGGCATAATATCCTTGAATTCAATGGTTTTTAGTTGGGCTGGCTACATAATTTGTGGAGTTCAATGCAAAATGAAAATCTATGACTACTGGTCAGGCGAGATGGCTCACACCACCTTCTAGCACTCTGGAAGGCTGAGGCTGGTGGATCACCTGACCTCAGGAGTTTGAGATTGGCCTGAACAAGAGTGAGACCCCATCTCTAAAAGTAGCTGGGCATTGTGGTGGGTGCCTGTAGTCCCAGCTACTTGGGAGGCTGAGAATTGCTTAAACCCAAGAGTTTGAGGTTGCTGTGAGCTGGGATGCTATGGCACTCTACCAAGGGTGACATAGTGAGAACGTGTCTCCAAAAAGAAAGAAAAGAAATTTTTTTTAAGAAATGGCAAAAAGTCCTATTAATGGCCAGACATGGTGGCTTCTGCCTGTAATCCTAGCACTCTGGGAGGCTGAAGGCAGGTGGACTCAGGAGTTTGAGAACAGCCTGAACAAATTGAGACTTTGTCTCTACTAAAAATAGAAAAAAAACTAGTTGTATTTTGTAGTTCACACATGGGTATGTATACTGTTCTTACTAAAATAGTAGAAACACGGCATGTATCTAAGTCAGCTACTTTTATTTTACTTCTTAACATGCACACATTCTGTCAACACCCACCTTTGGCTTACAGATGGGTTAGGGAAGTACCAAAAAGGAGAAGAAACTATGGGTTGTCCTGTCTTTTTCTTTCTGTGTTGTCATTTTTAGCAGAAGTATTTAGGTAATATAGGGAAGTGATATGAGTAAGAGCGGCTGTGATAGGGTTCCTTGATCATGTGTTTCTTAGAAAGACATTTTTATGTGCGAAGCAAGTTCTGGTTGGAATGGCATGGCTTCTTGGAGCTCTGAGCCCCCACCCACCTGCTTACTCAGTTGTATTTGTAACTTTGCACTTGCTTTGAGTCTTGCTGAACTCCCACGCGTGGGGAGTTCACTGGAATCTCTGCTCACAGGGTATTGCCATCAGTGTGTGAATGGGGTGGCCAAGAACGCTGTCCGTGCCTGTGACGGCTCTCTTCTGCTCACACTAGTGCTCTGTTGTCCAATTAGACCTTGTTTCACGAGCTCAAAGTTAAATTATGAAGATTCTCAAGATGGTGACAGAGCCTTAAGCTTGGTGTGGGTCCTTTCTGAGCATGGGGTCCTGCCCAGGTCACAGGTCCAGGAAGATGGCCCAGCTTCTCAGAGTCAAAGATCTCTTTTCAGTCTGAGTTTCCCGCTGGTCTTCAGGTCTCAGCTTTCACTGTCAAAGTTTGCAATTTGTCAGGTTTGTGGGTGGTGGCCTTGGGGCTGTCTCTTGGCCATCAGCATGGTCATTTTTTCAAGTATTTTTTGAATCTCTCTCCGTTACCTCTATTACCTTGGTTCACATCTTCATCATCTCTGATCTAGACCCTGCAGTGAGTCCCTTCTCTTTGTTCTGCATCTTCCCACCAGATTTTCCAAATAAATTTAGTACCAGGCTACCTCGCCTGTGCCAGAGCTGTCTTTGACCTCCTGTGAGCTGTAGCTTACGGCACGTTCTCATACTGGTGTTCCTGGGATGGAGACTGTATGGAGACAGGCTTGGTTTATCCTACACAGTATTTAGGAAATTTAGTCAACAACTGGTTTGAGAGGTTTCACTTATTGAAATTCACCTAATGAAGTACAGATTTAAAAAAAGAGAAGCTTTGGCTGCTGTAGGCTTTCGTTTCCTTCTGCTCTGCTGCTGCTCAAGACAGCAGGATGGACTGGACATGGGGAGAAAGAGCTGTGGGTTCACGTTTAAGGCAGATTGACTCTTTATTCTGGCAGAGTCTTCCCTTTTACTTGTGAAAATTGAAAGCAAGTATCTGCCTGTTCTCAGGGTGCTATGCAACAATCTGATTGCTGGATATTTTAGTCAGAGACATTAAGTTGTCTGTTCATATTGTTAAGTTGGGTGTATGCTTTGTGGCAGTCTTCAGTTGCTTTTTCAAGAGAAATATTGCTTAGATCTCACCTCATATTGTCACCTCTGAATCACCTGGTGACCCTCATCTAGTCTTGACCTCATTCTTCAGGCTTGTCTGTCCCGTCCTGTGCAGCGGCTGGAGTGCATTCAGTCCGGTAAGCCTCTGTTTCCCCTACTGCTCTTCTCTTTGCTTACCCTCTCCTCCTTCCTGCAGGTCCGCCCGAGAGCAGCTCAGCAGGAAAGCTTCGTGGGAGTCTCAGAGCTCAGCCCAGCAACGTTTGCAGGACATCAGGTCCTGACGTTATTGGATTTTAACCATTCAAGTACCAAGTGCTGGTGAGTTGAGGTTGTCTTCCGTGGCGCCTTCCAGTCCAGTGTTTTGAGATGCTGCGATTCTTCCATTGCCATGTGTTTGGTATCTAGTTTTTCTTTTTTTGAGCTTATACTTTGTGATAGGAACTTCATTGCACTATTGCAGTTAATTACGAGGGTAGTGCTAGCATTATCTCCATTTTACAGGTAAGAACGGACTCTCCAAATGGCTCTCTGGGTTTGTCTTAAACTACACCTTTGCTGATAGGACCTACCACCTAGTAGGAGCTCAGTAAATATCTATGTGATAGGAGTAATGGTTCCGTCAACCATCATGCGTTGAGGCCTATGCCATACTCTATGTCATAGGAGTAATGGTTCCGTCAACCATCATGCGTTGAAGCCTACGTCATACTCTATGTCATAGGAGTAATGGTTCCGTCAGCCATCATGTGTTGAGGCCTATGCCATACTCTATGTCATAGGAGTAATGCTTCCGTCAACCATCATGCGTTGAGGCCTGTGCCATACTCTATGTCATAGGAGTAATG